TTCAGCCACACTGGCCTCTCCCAGTTCTCCGTGGCGTGCTGTGCTCCTCCTGGGCACAGAGGCTTTCCACAGGCTCTTGGCTGGCACACAGGGTTTAACCCCGTCTTCTCCACCTCAGAGGTGAGGAGGGTGTGAGCTATAGCAGCTCAGCTCTAACCTCTCCACCCAGGAAGGCTTCAGGGGAAGGGGAGAGTGTTCCCTTGTAGGAGGAAAAGGACGAGGTTAGAGGAGGTGAAACCCAGGCAACATGCTTGGAATGGAGGAGAGAAGTCCCTACAGGGACATTCTGGCCAAAAGAACCTGAGAGCAAAAAAGCCCATACAAGATCCCGTGACGCAGTTTAAAAGAGATTTTCCAAGGGTGAGGGGAATGTAAAACACTGTACAGAAGCCTCCCTTAGTAACCGCTCCCAGACTATGGAACCTGTCTCTAGGCCCCATTTTCCTTCAGTTCAAGGCTTATGTCACCAGGTGCCTGTTAGGATTCTCCTCCCAAGTAGACCCTCCCCAGACAAGTGATCTGAGAAGATGCCCTCACTTCTTCCCTTCCCGGGTCCCTTCTGCTTTCTCTTCTGTCAACTACTTCAGTCCTTGAACCACCTGGGGCCTTTCCCCTTCACTTCCTCAGCTACCAGTTCCACAGCGTCTCCCGATCCCACCCTTCCCGCCACTGCCAGCACCGTGGAYGTGGCCTTTCAACTTTTCTTTTGTGGGACTGGTGTGAAGGCTCCTTATTGGGCTCCCAACTGGCGCCACCCCTCCCTGTCCCGACTGCATGTACCTGCATGGCTGTGAGCCTCCCTCTCCTAGTCATCTGCAGAATGTCGCCCTTGGTGAGCCAATCAAATTCAGATTTCTTGGTTTGATTTACAAACCTCCCTCCTTCTGTCCTCTGTGTTTCGATTTTTTGTTGTTGTTGTTTTTGAGGGGTCTGGAAGCTTTTACTTCTTTGTCTGCCTGAGGACCCTCACCCTCTGCGTGTCTTTGGTGGCTTATCTTCTACCCCTGCTGACCCTGGTGCTACAGCCCATGGGAGATACTAGCTCATGATACATCATGGTAAATGTATTTTGACATATTCTACATACATGGAATACAACTTGCCATTCCGGTTGTGCGTGATGGGAAATTACATTGGTATTTTTGAATACCCAATGGATCTTCCCACCTACCACCATCCGGTCTGCTTCCTTCTCACCCTGGTTCAAACCTTACCCATTCCTCAAGGCCCACCTTGGATGCGCATCTTGTATGAAGCCTCTGATCCCCTGGCAACATAAGACGGTGCCCCAGGACTTCTACAGCTCTGTGTAACCTGTCACCCCTGAGTCTATCATGATTCTAGCTCCTTCTCTCACTGCATTCTACCATCATGATGATGATCTTTTAATACTTCTTTGTCTGACAGTGTCAGTAATATCTATTGAGTATTGACTCTCGGAGTGTCTTGCACACACCATGCAACTTCTCCCAACTTCCAGTTTTCATCTATAAAACAGTGATAATAACCACCTCGAGCTCCAAGGGTTGTTTTGAGGATTCATTAAGTTAACACAAGGAAGGCACTGAGAATCCTGCCCCATACAACAACCAACCAGTAAATACCTACTAGGTAATTATTATTAGGCATGTAGGAGAGCATGTCATGTTGTCTGACCTAACCTCTGGCCCCAAGTCACTGTTATTATACTGTTTTTGAAAATTATACATCCCAGCTCCTCAGAAGGCTGAGGTGGGAGGATCAGGAGTCCAAGACCAGCATACCAAGATCTCCTCTCTAAACAAACATAAACTGTTTTAACCATTTTTAAGCATACAGTTCAGTACGCTACACTCACACTGTTAAGCAACCGATCTCCCAAAATTTTCTTCTTGCAAAACAAACTATTAAGCAGCTCCTCATTTCCCCTCCCCCCACCTCTAGCAACTGCTGTTATACTTTCTGCCTCTACAAATGTGGATTGCTATACTCTTTACAGGCTGAGGGACCCCAGGTTTGGAAAGTAATTTGTTCTAAGGAGACGGAGCCCAGATTTGAGCCCAGGCCCCCTTTCACACTCTGAGCCAGTGTGAGATATGGCTTCACTTCAGCCAGTATCTATGGCAGGTTATACCTCCCCAACGATGATGGCCATTGTGGGCCAGAGCTCTCCTCTGCCATTCTCACATTTACTCCCCTGTCAGCTCTGCAGACATGGTTGAGGGGTGGTGTCCAATTTTCGAGTTCTGTGCCTGGTACAGAGGAGGACTCAATAATATGGGCCCATGTGATGTCTTTAAATAGGCCAGACAATACCAAATAAGCTGGCTGTACATTTTTAATGCAATTGTCTACTATTTGTTTTTTGTTGGTACTGGGAATTGAACCCAGGGGCACTTTACCAATGAGTGTTTTTTATTTTTTTGAGACTGGATCTTACTAAGTTGCCAAGTGTCTTGTTAAATTGCTGAGGCTGCCCTTGAACTTTTGATCCTCTGGCCTCAGCCTTCAAGTTGCTCGGGTTACAGATTCCAGGTTAGCAATTGTATACACTTTTTAAAAATATTCTCACTGAAAAAAACAACAGAAATGTCTGATGTCAGAAAGCCTCCCTGTCCTCTGCAGTCTGCCCTCCTCCCATAGAGTCAATCTGCTCTTCCCACCCCAGGCCAGTCCCCAGGCCACCCCACATCTGTGTCTCATCACCAGCTTTGCTGATCCATAGCCAAGGGCAGAGACAGGCAGGCAAGGGGACACAAGACACCAAGACACTGTCCCTGCTCTGCTTCCTTCCCCTGCTGCCCTACCAGCACACTCTTCCCTCTAGCCATAACCTATCCTGGCCATTCTGTCCTTCACGCCTCCTGGGCCTTTGCACATGCTGTTCTTGAAACCTGGAATGCTTGTCCTCCCACCTTCTCCACCTCCCAGAAACTCCTACAGTCTTTGCAAAGCCAACTCAGATGTCACCTCCTCTGGGAAGCTCCCTCTCCTCCCCCATCTAAGAGTCTGCCCTGTCTGGGTATAGACTAGCTCACTCCTTGTGATAGCACTTGGAATGCAGGGACTGTCATTGTGTCCCCTCTGACCCAACTCCTTGTGGAATCCAGAGAAGCCCAGGTCACTTCTATTTTTTGATGTTCTTTGAGAAAAGAAATGACAAAATAGGAACACAAACGTTGAGGCGTGTTTTAAAATATTTAACAATACTTCTGATACCAAAAAATTATAACACAGTTGTGCTGCTCACAAGATAACAAAGATTTATTAACGTGATAATTCACAGTGCAACACAGATGCAGTGGTCTGGTAGAAGGGCACAAGTTTAAGGACATACATGGAAGGTCTTTGATCAAAGCAAACAGTGGATCCAATGTAATACAAAACCTCACTTGAAGATAATGTTGAAAACCTAAGTTGAAAATTCTGGCCAGATGGCTCTCCTGGCCCCTTTCCCCAGTGATAAGCTGTACTGCTGCCTTTGCACACAGTAGGGGCTCATCCTCTGCTAAATGATGGGAACAAATATGGTTTTCCAAGTGATTATTGGAAACCCCAGATATAGTAAGTGTTCCTGAGAAACACTGAAGTCCTCAACAATGGGGCAGGAAGCYACCTCCTCCTCCAGTGACCCCATCCCTCAGATGTTGATGGCTGCAACAGGAAGCCCTCCACCGGGTCTTTCCTCCCTCCCCCTCTTCCCCATGCCCCCCCCCCCAGGGGCTCCAGATGCAGTCTTGCTTTCCATCCACTGGCAGCCTCTCTCCTCCTCCACCCTCTGGAGGGTCCCAGGTGAAGACAGAAAAAAAGCTTTTACTCAGAAGGAGGCAGGAAGCCAAGCTGGGCTCCAGGCAGTCCTGAGGAATAAAAGAAACAGCAAGAGGACAAAGAAGGGCTTAAAGCACTGGAGCAAAGGGAGGGTGGGGGGTAGGGAGGCTAAGAAAGTTTACAAAGCAATCTGCCAAAGAATGGATGAAAAGGGAGCCCCGCTGGGCTGAGAGACTCAGGCCCTCCCTCACCTTAGGCCCAGTTAGAAACCTGCAATTTCTCAGCCAAAGCCTGCACCTCTCCCTGCTCCTCCCATTCCTTGGAGTCTGGTTAACAACCCCTGACCTAGAAGTTTCCCTGAGTGTGAGGGCCCAGCTTGCTGGGTCTGTGACAGTTGGCAGCCTTGCTCACAGAGCATCCGCTTGAACCCACCACTGGCCCAAATTCCAGGCTGAATTTCCAGCAGGAAAACAATGTGAGGAGAAGGCCAGATGCTCACAGCCATGAGCCACTCTTAATTTCCCAGACTTTCAAGGCCACTGAATATACCCATGGGCCTTTATGGAAGTCTCCCCTGCCACCAAAGGTTGAATTAATAATCACAGCTATCACCTGAGTGACCTGTGTGGATCTAAGTCATCTCAGTCCTCACGACTCCCCCGGGGTATGACTATTGCCATTTTACAGAAAAGGAAATGAGCTGGGCAGAGTAAATGACTTCCTGATATGCAGCCTGGAATCCAACCCAGACCTGTCTGACCTTGATGCCCACACTCCAGGGATGCTGTCTCTTGGGAACCCTCCAGGATGCCAACTTCTTTGGTGTCCAGATCTAAAATTTTAGGTGGGACAGGATGGTACAATTCTGTGGTATTTAAACAACCCCTAACCCCACAGTTGGGGGTTGGAAGAGGAGTAGGAGTGGGAGATGCTGCGTTATGCCTGGGTAGGGTCCTAATAGTTCTTTTTAGACACTTGAGTAATTTAACCATAAATAACTGGGCACCGGGAATAGGACACTCAGTAATAAAAGCATGGCCTGGAGTCATGTTTAAAAAAAAAAAATTCAAGTCCCTCAGTGGGTGGATGTATCTGCAAAACAAAAGAAAAGCCCCTTTCCCAGCCCAGGCAGAGAAGTCTCCTGTACAGTTRGAGACAACAGGCTTCCGGGCACGTAGCCAAGGTTCTGGGGATATTTATAACTTGAAGAGGGTGGGAGTCCCTAATAAGCTGCTATATTCTTTTTCCATCACTTCCCTCTCCAAGGCTACAGAGAGCTCGGAGCTCTTCCCCATGCAGAATGCCTGCTTTGCCTAGTGCTCGACTTCCATTGTCTAATTCCCTCATCCTGGCTGGGGAAAGGGAAGGCTGCAAGTCCGTCCGTTCGGAGGAGCTCCAGCTGAACGCGGCTTAGCTGGCAGTGGGGTTTCTTGGCCGGTTGTCTTGGCCTCGGAGATCTGCCTATGAGCCTGTGGTTTCACGGAGGTCTTCGGGATCAGCCAATGATTCCTGGGCTTTGCCTGCAAGTCAACGGATTCGAGGTTGGTCTGTGGGTCTGGTCTCCGGARTCTACCAGCGATCGCCAGAATCTTTCAGCACATCAGAGGTCGGAGAAAACTCTGCGGCTTTGGGATGTTTGAGGCCTCTCGGATCTTGAAGCCGGCGATCTAGTGGCTATCTGGCAGGCCGGGAGGTAAGTCTGTTGGTCCCCAACTCGGGTTTGTTGTTTCCTATCTTCACAATGACTGCTAGCATCCTGAGGACCCGCTGGGCTCAGGCTCTCAGAGGCCCAGGGTCCCCTCAGTGAGCGAGGCCTCCAGAAACCCTTTCAGCAGACAAACCCTCCAGGATGATAAGGACCGCCCGCCCTCGCCCGGGGGCCTGGCTCTCTCCTCCTCACACGCCCTATCCTCACCCCTGCGTCTGATTTCCTTTAGGATTTTCGCTTCTTGTCTCTCAACAGGCGCCCTCTTTAGAAGGACGCGGTTGGTTGCCCCTAGAGGGTTAACAGCGACGAAGCCCGCACACCCCAAGCTGGGCACCGGACCGCACTCGCGCGCAGAAGAGTAGCGCAGAGCCGACTGGGAATTGTAGTCTGCGTGTGCGCAGGGTGCGAGTGCCGCACGCGCTGCTGGGACTTGTAGTCTGTGTGCGCATAGGGTGCGAGTTCCGCAGGTGCTGCTGGGAGATGTAGTCTGCATACGGGCAGGGTGCGAGCTCCCATGCTGGGAAGTGTAGTGCGTAGGCGGGGCTCAAAGTTCCAGCKCGCCCTCCCCGAGGGAGTGGGCGGCTACTGCTTTTCACTCTGGCCGGTGCTGTCAAATGAGGGATAGATAATCCCAGCAGAACTGAGCCCAGGCCAGCACCTAAATCAAGTCCGACTTTGCGGATAATGAGATGTGACTCAAGAGAAGTTTCTAGGGACGTGAAGGAAAGCAAGGCAACATCCCTGGTTTAACCGGGCTGTGGTCTCCAAAGAAGAAAGCGGGAGGTACTCCACCCTAGCTAGGAGGACACGCTTCCTTCTTCACCCTTTTGTTCTTTTCCCTCCTSGGCTCTTGGCCTCTGACTGGCCTTTGTACGCCGAAGTGGAACTACAAGTCCCGGCAGGCCACCGGGTAGGCGCAGGCGTGATAGAGGTGCTGGGCCACGCTGCAGGAGGCGGGCCAAGTATTCGGCATCTGATTGGTAGGGCATATTGCAAGCTTTGATCACGGTTGGCTGAGGCAGCTGCCGGAAAGGACCCAGCCTCGAGTTGGAAGAGCGGAGGCGTTCTGTGGGCTGGGCTGAGGAGCCTCCTCCCTGAGACAGCATCGCCTAGACCCCCAACCAGGGAGTGACCACCCTGGGGCTGTCCTAGTCGATTCTGGCATTGCTTCCATCCGGTGGTGGCGGAGACACAGAGGGCGGGTCATGCCCTGGGATCAGGGAGGAGAGTGACCGGCCCTGGTCCAGGGCCCTCCCCGCACGCCTCTTGGCCAGAACTAACTCCAGCCCTGGGGAGTGGGCAGGGCCTATTTGCAGTGCCTCACGCCCTGCTTTTCGCCTCCTTCAGCGCTGTCTGCTAGCTGCTTTTCCTGCTGTCTCTCCCGGGAGGCCAACCCTTGTGCCCGAGATGGCAGCCACCCTGCTCATGGCAGGGTCCCAGGTAAGCCGGGGGTGGTTCCTCGGACCTTGAGTCTGCTTAGCCACCTCGTCCGGCATTTCTCCGCTCCGCAAGTCCCTGTGGGGAATTCCCTGGGGTTAGTAATTCGTTCACTTCGTTATTCTATCTCCAGGGGCCTACTGCTGGGCTAATACAGCCGCAAACAAGCATATATTGAACACCTGCTGTATGCCTTTAGGTACTGGGGGGATTACAGATGGACAGGACGGGAGCTACCTCGCCTGCTCACAGTCTGTTGGGAGAAAGACGCATCCGGTTAACCGTGATACAACGTGATAAGTGCTGTGTTTGCCGTAGCAACAAAGTGCTCTGGTGTGGAAACAGAAGTGGGAGTGATTAATTCTATCTGGAGCATCCGAGGGCGGAGCGGCGCAGAACGGGGGTGGGGGGCGGCGGCAGGAAGAAAACCGTAATGAATGGCAGTATTTCACTAGTCTGAAAAAGATATTTCGAGAGAAAGAGGAACATTGTATGTAAAGCTATGGAGTGATGAAATTGCTATCTGTGTTCTCAAAAAGGCATGGCTAGAGGATAAGATCCCCCAAGTAGGGCAGGGGTATCCAGCTATGGAACCAGAGCAGTTCGGTTTTTGTTTTGTTACCACGTGTGTTTTCCTGGTTGTTTAATTCTTTTTTGGACTTTACAGAGGAGACTCAATGCCTTTTACCTCCTGGACATTTYCAACCATGACTCTAGTTTCAGGAAGAAAAACTGTTACTAACCTCCTTGATACCAAGTAGTGAGGAAGCATTGTGTGATTTCAGGCACCTGTGACATTTGAAGATATGGCCATGTACCTCACCAGGGAAGAATGGAGACCTCTGGATCCTACACAAAGAGACCTTTACAGGGATGTTATGCAGGACAATTATGGAAATGTTGTCTCACTAGGTAAGTAAGGATTCTACCTGTCTTCACACCAGCGTTTTTGAAACTATGTCAGAATGGCTTGGCTTTCCAACAGAGCCTAGTTGTTTGATCTTTTAAGTCACTTAATTGGATATTGGCTTGAGTTGAGTGTTCAGGCAATCTTTGAATGTGGAAATATGCATATCGTATATTTGAAAAGAAAAAGAAATGATTTTGCACATTATAGAAACATTCAGATTTCTTGTGCCCTGAGTCATTTGCCATTCTCCAGCCTGTTTGTACWGAGCCCTGACCAAACAGGTCTGGCATAATGGTGCTTGCCAGGATATAAATGCCCCTGTAAATGGTGCTTTTACTCTAGGGCACTGGAAGATGAGGGATTCTAAGCTAGGTTCATGGGAGGGCAGAAGCACCGTTTGTGTTTGTTTTGGCTGCAGAGCGCCAGCCTTGCCTCAGGTTCTTTGTCTGAATAAGTTCTTGTCTAGAGATGTGTCAGGGTGAGTGTGTGAAATGTTCCAGATGTATCCCGAAATAGTGGGATCACAAATTCTATTAGCGGAGGCAGTTTCATTTTGTCTGTCCGTCTGTCTCTTTTCTTTGGCAGTGTTAGGGATGGAACCCAGGGCATCTCACATGCTAGGCAAGTGCTTCTACCACAGAGCTGTATCTCCAGCCTCCATTTTTTTTTTTTTCATGTTCTGCAAATCTGTTTTCTCTTCCAGCTGTATTTTGGTCTGGGTGTAACTAGAAAAAACAATTTATCCTAGAACTGAACAGTCTTTTGACTCACTTTGTCTCCTGTTAGCAAGTGTGTATGCTTCACTAGGTCATCTGCCGTTTGTTAGAATGAATCCACTTTTCAAAAATCTTGATCCCATGACTTTTCTCAGCACAAAAGACAACCTGAGGGTTTCTTCTTAATTTGGGCTTTCTCTCTGGTCCGGAGTTGTTTTGATCCCTTTTGTAGAAAAGCAACCATAAATAATGTTATCCTCTCATGTCTTTAACCCAAATATTTCACTCAATCCAACAAAAACAAGAAATGAAAATCTTAAAAAGTTTAAATTTGCATTCCTGTGGTCTGGCACAAGGAGTGCTTATTAGAAGGACAGAAGCACTTAAAGAAAAAGCTGGTTTCTTCTCCAAATAACCTTGGGAGAGGGTTAAATAATATTTACAAGACTTCTTTATCTCAGGACTCCTCAGAATCTTTAATGTGTTATTAGGCATTGTGGATTCCTAATGAGAGAATAGTGTATGCAACATTTACCAAACTAATTTATCCACGGGACCTTTTCTCCCAGCATATTTACTAATCCCTTTATGAAAAATATACTAAGAAATCTACTTGGGCTGGGTGCAATGGCACATGCCTGTAATCCCAGCATCTTGGGAGACTGAGGCAGGAAGATAACAAGTTCAAAGTTAACCTCAGTGACTTAGCAAGGCCCTAAGCAACTCAGCAAGACACAGTCTCTAAATAAAATATTAAAAAAGGAATTGGGGATGTAGCTCAGTGATAAAGCACCCTTGGGTTCAATCCCTGGTACCAAAAGAAAAAGAAAGAAAGGAAAAAAAAGAAAGAAAGAAACCCAGCTTGGAAAATTTAGTGTTTGGGTAGAAAATTCTTTCAGACAGTGGTTGTGTTTTTTATTTTCATTTGAGAACTGTACATCTATACGTGTAATATAGTCAGTCAATGCCAAGAATGTTCTGATGCAGGACTGTGGGTGTAGCTCAGAGAGTCCCTGGGTTTGATTCCTAGCACCACACACACAAAAGAAGAATATTCTCAAACATCTTTTTTGCCTTCTCCATGTTCTCACATCTATTTTCACTTAAAAAGGCCACTGGAAAATAGCAAGTGACATTTAGCACTTTTTTTTTGTTAACTAAGGTATGACACAGATAACTAAAAATTCATTTTTCTTCATACCAACCTAGCAGATGCTTTTGAATAAATATTATTATATGATGGTAATGATGAAAACTTGACAAGTTAAAATACATACATACATAAAATATCCAGGTTCTTGGCTTTTAGAAATTCTGATTTAGTCTTTTGTATGTTCCGTTAATAGTTGTTTTGATCTTCCAAAACACCAAAAATATGTAAAGTTTTTATAATGAACCATTAACTGCAAAACATTTGAACTTCCTAATTTTCTTTTTGCAGTACCAGGATTGAACCCAGGGCTTACATATGCTAGGCAAGCACTCCACCACTGAACTACACCCCCAGACCTTTTTCTTTTATTTTGAGACAGGGTCTTGCTAAATTGGTTCTGGCCTTACTATATTGATGAAGCTGGCCTGGAGCTTGTGATTCCTCCTGCCTTGGCCTCTGAAGTGTCTGGGATTGCACAACCCCTAACCAGAGCATAAACTTTTTACCTGACTTTCTGGCTCTACCATTTACTGCTGTGACTTTGGGAAAGTCACTTCCCTTGTCTCAGGGTCTTGGCTTTCTCATTCATTAAGATCATCCTAACACCTGCCTCTCAGGATGGCTGTGATCATAAGTGAAGTAATGCAGGTAAAGAACTTAGTGTAGAGCTGGGCAGGCGTGGTGGGCATGCTTGTAATATCAGCGGCTCAGGAGGCTGAAGCAGGAGGCTCACAGGTTCAAAGCCAGCTTCAACAACTTAACAAGAGCCTAACCAACTCAGTGGGACCCTGTCTCTAAATAAAATACAAAAAAGGGCTGGGGATGTGGCTCCCAGTGGTTAAGTGCCCCTAGGTTCCATCACCGGCATAAAAAAAAAAAAATAGAAAGAAAAAACTTAAGTGCAGCAACTGCCCACAGTGCAATCTCCGGTCTCATTATTTATGCTTTATTACAGATTTTGACATCAGGAGCGAGAACGAAGTGAATCCAAAGCAAGAGATTAGCGAAGATGTTGAATTTGGGACCACATCTGAAAGACCCGTTGGGAATGCTGAGGAAAATCCTGAAGGGGAAGAGGCCTTTGGAACCGGGGACAGGTCGGAAAGACAGTGGGGAGATTTGACAGCCGAAGAGTGGGTAAGCTATCCTCTCCAACAAGTCACCGACCTGCTCGTGCACAAAGAGGGCCACACGGGCATCCGCTATCACATATGTTCCCACTGTGGAAAGGCCTTCAGTCAGATCTCGGACCTTAACCGCCACCAGAAGACCCACACGGGAGACAGACCCTATAAGTGCTACGAGTGTGGAAAGGGCTTCAGCCGGAGCTCCCACCTCATTCAGCACCAGCGCACGCACACGGGGGAGCGGCCGTACGACTGCAGCGAGTGCGGCAAGAGCTTCGGGAGGAGCTCGCACCTCATCCAGCATCAGACCATCCACACCGGCGAGAAGCCGCACAAGTGCAGCGAGTGCGGGAAGAGCTTCTGCCGGCTGTCCCACCTCATCCAGCACCAGAGGACCCACAGCGGGGAGAAGCCGTACGAGTGCGAGGAGTGTGGCAAAAGCTTCAGCCGCAGCTCGCACCTGGCGCAGCACCAGCGGACGCACACGGGCGAGAAGCCCTACGAGTGTAACGAGTGCGGCCGGGGCTTCAGCGAGCGGTCGGATCTCATCAAACACTACCGCGTGCACACCGGGGAGAGGCCCTACAAGTGCGACGAGTGCGGCAAGAACTTCAGCCAGAACTCGGACCTGGTGCGGCACCGCAGGGCGCACACCGGCGAGAAGCCGTACCACTGCAACGAGTGCGGCGAGAACTTCAGCCGCATCTCGCACCTGGTGCAGCACCAGCGCACCCACACCGGGGAGAAGCCCTACGAGTGCAATGCCTGCGGGAAGAGCTTCAGCCGCAGCTCTCACCTCATCACACACCAGAAGATCCACACCGGGGAGAAGCCCTACGAGTGCAACGAGTGCTGGCGGAGCTTTGGCGAAAGGTCGGATCTCATCAAACACCAGAGAACGCACACGGGAGAGAAGCCCTACGAGTGCGTGCAGTGTGGCAAAGGGTTTACCCAGAGCTCCAACCTCATCACGCATCAGAGGGTCCACACCGGAGAGAAGCCTTATGAATGCACCGAGTGCGAGAAGAGTTTCAGCCGGAGTTCAGCCCTTATTAAACACAAGAGGGTGCATACTGACTAAGTCCTGTAATTATGACTGAGAAGCGATTCCTTTGAAGGTACAGTTGACATCTGTGAGCTCGCTTGAGGCCGAGCGGCTTTTACCCTGCTGACTTTCCTGGTTGTGGGCTGTAATTAGAGCATCCAAGAAGACCGTCACTATGAAATTCAGACGCACAGCTCTGAAACTTTATCCCTCCTCCAAAAGAGAGACTTTCGTTCACTCAATTTTTATTCACTCAATGGATTACTTCATCAAATTCAGTCCTGCAAATAGCTGGAACTCTGAAGACCAGGGGCAAATGCTGGTGAAGGCTCAGGCCTGGGGTTGGAGTAAATCTTTAAAGGTTACTTCTACCATCCAGGGCCCAAAATCTCTGCTAGGGGAAATGTGGACTGTAATAGGGTGGTCAAGTTTGCTTTGGAAAAAGGCAACCAGACTTGGCCTGAATTGCCACCCGTGTTCACACACCAGAGTAGAGGGCACACACATCCTCCCCTCCAAAGGGCTTTCCCTTGAGTCGCTCTGCATCTTTCCTTCTTCCTGAGAGCAGGATTCTGCATGATGAAGGCAATGATCAAATCTTTTCTCCTTCTCATTGTTTCTGATTAACTTGTTTGAAGCTGTGTCTTTGTAGATACAGGTGTGAAAGGAAAAATGAGACTTGGGTTTGAGGACCAAGACCCATCATCAATGGTGGTGACTTTAGCAAGAGGTGCCCACTGTTGTAATTGCTATTAATCAGGCTTATGAATTTTCTTTGGGAATCATTGTATGGAATATTGTAGGGAAAATATCTTCAAGGAAAGATAGGACCATAAGTGATGGTGGAGTGAAAGGAGTAAGTGGAACCGAACCCCTACGGGAAGGAAGCACAGAGTCCCTTCCCAAGGAATGTAGGCCATTTCTGTATTCTTCCCCTTCTAATCTTTAAAATCAATTCTCCCTAAACTGCTAACTCTAGGGTTTGATAGGGCCACATCCTAGTGTTTATCTTAGCTTGCTAAGGGCATGTCTCTGTACAGTGAAATGTGTACTCCTTTGGTTTTACTAGTAGTGGTAACTGAATTTTCAAAGAATTAGCATGTTCTTGGGTGGTGTGGATCATGTAACAGAACTATAGACATAACTCCAATGTGAGAAATGTCCTTTTTTTTTTCATTTGTATGGAAAAAAATTTAAATGCTAGTGCTCATGTGTGCACCGTCCTGTAAAGTTTGTCTTTGTATAGAACACAGCACTTGTTTGTATGTTTCCATCAATTGGAGAGATAAGGACTGGACAATAAGTTTATTGTCCTATTCTCAGACTGCATTATCTTCAATGGCAATGAAGACCTCTTTGGCCTAGTCAGAAGGAATTACTAAACCTACGTAGGAATGTGTTTTTATCCTCCCAACCTACAAATAGAAATGGTTAAAGCAAGAGTTGGCCCCATTTAAGCCCAGTAGAATCAGTTTTCCATCTCTTAGCCCAAGTAGAAATTAAGAAATAACCTAAATATTGATACTTCTGCAAGTCTGTGGGGGATGGGAAGGAACCAGCGTCCAGGAGGTGGGGCTGGAATAAGGAATGTTTTCCTTTGAGAAGGCCCCAGTGTGTTTCTACCATGCTTTCTTGTGAATGTTGTAACATTTGGAAAAAAAAAAATTTGCCATATCTCTTTAGGACTGGTATGCACTAAGCATGTACAAGGTCCTGGTTTCAATCCCCAGCCATTGGTCTCTCTGGGGCAGAGACTGTACTAGTGAGTTACTGTGACCCACCACTGTGTGGGATCACATCAGTTGCAAATGACAACACATCAAAAGTAAGAAAATGAAAAAACCACTCCAAGGGGGTTTCTTCATATTTAAAACGAGCGTGGGGCAGGGAGCATGTTATTTTGTTCTATACAAAATCTAGAAGACTGTGAGAATTCCTATTTTAGTTGTCAGGTGACTTGTATGTTCTTGGTAACTAAACTCAAGTATGTCTTCTCCCTTATCAATGTTGCTGATGATTTTAATGATTTCAGCATTCTGGTGCTACGTTGATCCACTACAAGTGTCACCCTGGGAGTGGGCATAGAAGTCAGCACCTCTGTCACCTAACTGCATCTCACACTCTTCTCTTACTCTGCTCTTCTTACCTTACCCCAACCTGTTCCTGTTGCTGCCTTTGGCTTCTTAGAGGTGAAGGGCTCAAGAAAAGGCTTCTAGGTGCCCACCCATCTCCATACGTGTATGCTCCAGTGGGGAAGTTAAAAGGGCTAGGGCCACATAGCCCTGTCTCCTCTTTCTGCCCATTGTTACCCATTTGCTGTGCTGAACTGGGTGCAGAAGTCCTGCATCAGACCCTCTTGGCTAATGGTTTTGCTTGGCTTCTGTTCTCAAGTCCCTGGCTGCTTCTGCACATGAACACCCTGTGCCTGTTTTCTGTGGATGTGGAGAGTGAATGAACAGTAAATCTGTAGAGCATTTTCCCTTATGGTATTGGTCACAGTTATCCTAGTGTCAATTGACATCTGTATTATTCTAACAATACTCTATAATTAAAACTACAATTTAAAAATCAAAACAGCTGAGAATTATTTTAGTAATTCACTCATGCATATAAAGGCTTTTCATCAGATTCATTAAAATTGGGCACGACCATTTTGACATTGATGCTTTGTTTGTATAGACACTGTACTGATGTTCTTGTGGGGATTTGGGAGTACAGTGTCTTGAGCCCTCTAGATATTGCCATATCTTGAGAAGATGCAAAAAATCTGTGAAGGGTAACCTGTTTCCTGTGAAGGTTATGCTGGTGCAAAGCAACATGGAAGTACTTGGCATGGATGACTCATTAACTTAAGAAAAAGGAAAAACACATCCAAAAGGAAAAATGGGAGAAGGCCTCGTTGCTCTAAGGAGATTTTGGGGGGTATGCATTAAGAAGACGAAAGCAATCTACTGAGCTAGGACTGGGTTCCCAGAACTAAGTTCTGTCTCACACACAAAGGTTGTCTCGTTCACAATGCTGGAGCACAGTTTGCCTAAGGCAGTGTTTATGTACTACTAGGGTGTGGTCACAACTTTAAAATTACAAGTAATTTTCTCTTAAGAAATCTTTCTTTTTCCGTGGAGGGCCAGCCTAGGCAAGGTAGGGGGCAGAATACAAATATGAAAAAAAAATTAACCCTACATCCAAGAGTTAGAAAAAAAGAAATTTTATAAAAATGTTTTTTAAAACATATTTGTCAATAGACGCAGTGGCAGGGACCTGTTGTCCTAACTACTTGGGAAGTTGAGGCTGGAGGATCACTTCAGCCCAGATGTTGGAGGCCTGGGCAACACTGCAAGACCCCATCTCATTAAATAAAGTGTGAGAGGGAGGGATGAAGCTTGGTGCTTGAGAGTGTGGTAAGCATGTACAAGGTCCTGGGTTCAGTCCCTAGCACCAAAAACAAAGCAAAACCTGTTTCTCCTTTCTGTATGTTCACCATTTTTTTATTGCTAGAAAGGAAAGTTAAAGGAATCAAGGAATCATGTACAGCCACAAGAATGGGAAGTTACATTCCATGTATGTACAATATGTCAAAATACTCTCTACTGTCACATATATGTGAAAAAAGGGGGGACCGCAGTCATATCTCAGTAGTAGAGCACTTCCCTAGCATGTATGAGGCACTGGGTTTAATTTTCAGCACCATGTAAAAAAATAAATAAAGGTATTGTGTCCACCTATAAGCAAAAAAAAAAAAAATTTTAAAGAGAGAGAGAGAGAGAATTTTTATTTATTTTTTTAAGCTTTCGGCAGACACAACATCTTTGTATGTGGTGCTGAGGATCCAACCCGAGCCACACGCATGCGAGGCGAGCACGCTACCGCTTGAGCCACATCCCCAGCCCAAAGTAAAAAATTTTTTTAAAAATTAAAAAGTTGAAAAACAAACATCAGTCTCCCCCCCCCCCCAGCCCCTGCCCCCAGAGTAACTCAAAAGCCTCCTCTCTGAAGGTATTTGTTTGGTCATTGTTGTTATTATCAAAGCACTTTTCCTTCTCTGTGAAATGTCCTCTAGGAGGCTAGAGGTAGGTTAGAGCTGTGTTTGCAAGTCATTAGGGCACCTCAAGTGCACTAAGATGATTATTTGCTAAATGGCTTCCTAGTGTTTGAGAAGTTAGTGTAGTCCACATAGGAGTTCCCATGCCCTGGGGGAAGAGCTTGTTCACTAACACCCACCTCTGTGGTAGCCTTGTTTATCTGTAGCGGACTTAAAGATAAGAAAGACTGTTAAAGATCATTAGCAAGACATAGCCAAGGAGTAAATTTTCTTTTCTTTTTTAGTGGTAATTGAACCCAGAGCAATTCCCACCCTCCCCCCCACCTTTTTTTTTTTTTTAAAACAGGGTCTCACTGAATTGCTTGGGACCTCACTAAATTACTGAGGCTGGCTTTGAACTTGCGATTCTCCTGCCTCAGCCT